GAAACTCAATTTGTATGTGGTTGTCATTATGCATTTATTTGCCGGTAAATGTGTAACATTATAACAAGACAGGTAACAGCATCTTATAGAAGTCACAAGAGGATACATCTCCTTTATTTGTAGCTCTGCACCAAGCAGTGCAGCACTTGTATACACTACTACTAGAACAGTCTTCACTATAGCAGGGTTCTCCCCAGGATTTGAGAGGCATGGCCCCCCCTCCAGAGGGGGGAAGCTGAAGCATTTTTCTTTATCTAAATACAAATGGAAGCCATTTCCTGCAACTTCAGGTTTTGAACTGCCAGAAAAAAATGTTAACATACAGGAAAAAATTGGGCATAGGTTCCACGCTCTGACCCCTAACCGGGGGCCAACGGTGCCTTCAAGTTCGACAATTGAAACAGAATATGACATTAAGTCATACATTTTCCACTTGGAACTTGAGGCAAGCAATTATGGGAAAATGTAGAGAAGCTGGGACAAAACCTTATCCTAATGCTAATCCTTATGTTATCACCAACTTGTAAACAAGTCCCTTATAATTATCAAAGTACCATCAAAAGAAAATTTCACTTCTCTAACATTAAATAATCGGTCCCATGTTTAGGACTAACAAAGTTACACATTCAAGAAAATACTTTTGAATTTAAAAAAAAAGAAGAAAAAAAAAGAAATCTGAAGAAAAAAATATTAATCTGCACAACATTTTATTGGTTTCTATCCCTTTGCTTGTCTACAAGTCGATAATGTGATTGTATCAATTTTCAAACGCCCTAAAATTAGCTAAATCGGCGAATTAAGGTGATTGCCAAATTGGCACTTATAAACTGTTTTCAGGTTAAAATGTACTGAAACTATTGCATGACCATACTTGGTGTATGTGACAATTTTTATGAATGCATGGTCTTATTGGTAAGGGTTTTCTTCCCGCTGATTGGCTGCTAAGATAATTTGATCACTTGGGTAATTTCCAAGCAGATATAGCAGGGTGGCGCGTGCAGCTAATCTTGAAGCAGAGATATACAGAGTGGCTTGGACAGGTCATCTTCAAACAGATACTGTATCTGTATAGCCGGTATAACCGCCTTTCGGCGTAACACACCAGCTTCGCAGGCAAGCGGCGCGGCGGCAGCTGGCTACATTACACCGATCGACTTGTTATACCTAACCCTTGGACATCTAACTCTAGACTTTGTTTAAAGCTATCTAGTGACAATGCCCCTACTGTACTTGGTGACAGCGAGTTCCACTCTGTGATAGTTCTAGGACTAGGAAAAAATGAATTCTTGAACGCCTCAATCCTTGGATGATAACTCTGGTACTTGAAGGCATGGCTATTTCTTGTTCTCTTCTGGGCTGGTTTTAGGTACTTAGTAATTGAGACGTCCACGAGTGTATTAGTCATTTTGTACATCATGCATAGTCTGGATATTTTTTTTCTGTCTTCCAGTGGGTGATGTGGATAGATTCTAATCGTTACTAAAAGCACTGTTCAAGGAATTTTGTTTTACTGAAAAGCACTGTATGTATGGGGGTTTCGAAAACAATTGTTACTAAGAAGCACTGTATGTATACTGGGTACTACATGGGGGCATTGAAACACTTGATACTAGCTTGAAAGCACTACATGGGGATTTAAAGACGCCTATTATTTAAAGCACCAAATGGGGGACACACCGCAGAGCACTGTATGGATTTCGACAACACGTCATGAAAAGCACTTTTTGAGGCCATGAACACTACAATGGAGGTTTAAAAAACACTTTATACTAAAAACACTCCATGGGGGTTTCGAGAATAATATATCGTCTCTAAGAAGCACTGTATGCACAGGGCACCTTGATGCTGAAGAGCGCATGGAAAAGGTTGATATGGAAGTAATAGAACAGTCCATTTTGAAATGGGGAGGAACATGGAAATATACTGCATTTGCAAATACCGGCTTTTATAGTGTTAAATTGTGCCTCCAATAGCACTATTCAGTGCTTTCTGTGTGCTTTTGTCTTGCAGTTGTTCTAGTTGTTCACGGAAAGATAATTATCTTGTTAACAGATCGCTGCGCATCTCAGCCCCAAGGGCCCGACTGGAGATGTGCGCTCAACCGAATACCGGCAACGTGATCACAGCGCCACCTTTTGGAAAAGTGCGGAGGTGCACCGCAGATCCAAGAGGAACTCGATGGACAACATTGTTCCCTTGCGTAACAGACTTGAAGGTAAATAAAGTTTGTTTTTGGCTGCGAGGTGTGTGTGTGTGTGTGTCTGTCTGTGAATGTGTCTGTATGTATGTGTGTTTCTGTGTGTGCATCTAATTGTGTGTGCGTGCGTGCTTGTGTGTGTATGTGAGACGATGTGTGTGTGTATATGTGTTTCTGCGTGTGCGTCTATTTGTGTGTGCGTGCGTGCGTGTGCGTGTGTATGTGAGACGATGTGTGTGTGTAAATGTGTTTCTGTGTGTTTCTATGTGTGTGAATCTGATGACTTTGTATAATTTGTCTCATGAATTTGTGTTCATGTACATGAATCAATTAATGTTCATTATGATGTACCCAAATGCTCACTTCAACTCGACACATACTATCTTTTATTTGTAAATTAGAATTTTTACTCGAGAAACGGTGGCCGTACACTGGACCGCCCGGTCCGCCCGGTCCGCCCGGCCCACAGGGTCCGCAGGGTCCGCCCGGTCTACAGGGTCCACCTGGACAGGTAATCATGCAACATTAAACTAACAGACGTTCCGCACACTGCACCGTTTTATACCAACAGACGGCCTACTAATATTGAGTCACTGCATGAAAAAAAATTGGCTTTAAGTGTTTTTATCATTAACTATGCCGCGAATCGAAACTTTATTTAGATATCAATTTGTGGAGCAAATATGCGTATCATGTGATATTATGTATTATTTGTTGATTATTAGGTATTATTTGTTGATTATTTGTTATTATTTACTGATTATTATGTGATACCCTGCATCAATTCAGCCGTATAAAGGCTGCGACTGCATGGGTACTTTTTGAACACTAAAAACATCCAGTTCTAAATAACTGCGGCAAATGCAATTTGGCATGGAAGTAGAGTGGGCAAACGCTGTCAGATGTTTTTTTTTTTTCTTGTCTGCTCTACTTAAGACTGGGATAATCGGGCAAATTCTAGCTCTTTTTAAATCTTTACCTCAATCCTGGACCGTTTTTAGTGAAGTGTTTTCGGACTTTTACGTGGGGTGCGCGGTAAGGTTTCTTGCATGACGGAATTTTGTCAAATCAGTGGGGACTTTTTGCCTCTTTTACAGCAAAATGTATTATGCCTTGGCCAGTGTCTGTGACCATATTTTGTGTATGAGCACAGTACGGAGAGTAAGAGCCAAAAGGCAAGCAGCGTTTCCATATGCATGACCTGATTGGGAAATTTGCAGATGGTTCTTCTAACAGATTGGCTGTTGAGATAATTTGATAATTGGATCACACAGCCAAGCCCATCCCGGTCAAATAGCAGCCTGAAAATGATTCTGTATGTCAATGATATCAATATATTCCAGTGTTGCGCCGGTGCAGGAGCTACAGCAGCCCCGGGCCGCCCACTGCCAGCAACCACAGCGCTGTCACCTGTGGATGCACATGGTAAGACCCCGCACTTTCCTCTCTATTTGGTAAAATATACAAAAATAATGGCCTTCTTTTTCGGCACGGGAACATCAGTGCTGAAGTGGATCTATCTACGGAGGCACCTTAAACCCTGGAAAAACCCCTGTCAGCACTGGAAGCCGAGTGATGAGACTTTCGGATGTCATTTCCCAGCACCCCGCCTCTTTTCAGGACCACTTAAATCACTTTCAAATGTACCATCCCACTATCACAAACACACAACAAACAAAGTTGTATCTTTTATGGTCAGAAAAAAGTTTTCCCTTATAAAAAAAATATTGGTCGTGACCCGAAAGAAAATAACCATAAAGATGAAATTTTATTTTCTTGTTATAACATTAAAGTTGTTAGGTTAATCTATAACTTACACTTGTATTTCTGCCATCAAGGTGGCAGAAATACTTGAGATCCGGCAAATTTCTTACCACTTCCTTCACTACGACGTGCATGCAAAGACGTCAGCACTGGTGTTCCAGACCTGCATCTGGTAAATCCAGTCCTGACGGCGTATATGAGCACTCGGTTTCAGTGTTGAAGGGAGTTTCAGCACCGGCACAATTGCAAAGCCGTTCAGCATTAAAAAATCCTCCAGTCCTGACGCAGCTTTGACCACTGAATCAGCATTGAAACACCAGTGCAGAAGGCGTTACTTTTGTATATTGGCCTATTGGGTAAATCGTATTTCACTTGACTTAACACGTAATTGCCAGACTGCTGGGAGGTAGATGGAATCAAGTAATGGCAGACATACGATCCAAGTAAAACTGAAAATCACTGATATTAATGTCCCGCCGCAGGTTTTCAAGTTCGTCTTGCGGGTGAATCTAATAGGAATACCCCGCTCGAGGGCCGGGTGGAGGTGCGGTTCGGGACCGGCGCATGGGGGACCGTATGTGATGACGAATGGGACCTGAAGGATGCGCAGGTCGTCTGCAGGCAGCTCGGCTTCGGGAAGGCCCTGGAGGCAAAAGAAAAGGCCCATTTTGGAGCGGGTTCTGGGAGCGTTTGGATGAAAAACGTGGAGTGTAGGGGGAGCGAGACGAACCTTGGAAACTGTCCAGCTGTGTACCTCGAACGTACTGATAGCCGTGATGATCAAAAGTTGTGTAGACACGTTGAGGACGCAGGGGTCGTCTGTGAAGGTGCATATATGTAGTTACTTTCGTCATGGCAATTATATTAATTATTATTCCGTGAAGGAGGTCATGACCTGCGGACGGAGTATTGTGGTTAGCTGTTTTTTTCGTGTACGCAGCTAGAACACTCTTTGTGTAATCGGCATGCAATTTTATATTCCGTCTGTGGTCATGCCCGCGTTGATGCACGAATGTGTATTTTCGCCGTTTTCGCGGTCAATGTTATATTCAAGACGCACCCCTACAATTATGAGGCAAATTGGAATGGTCCCGCGGGGGGAGGGCATACTTCAGGCAGATGCTTGGAGGGGTCGATAAGTGGTACCATATGTTTTGCCGCCATGTATAAGGCATGGGGCCGAATCTTTAAGATGTTCGCAGCCAAAACGCATTGTTCCGCACGTAGCATTTCTGTGTAATTTGGCATGTGGTGTGCCATTATGTCTGTGGTGATGCACGTCTTTTTATTTCTAGCAGTTTTGATATTGAAGCAAATGTATATTTTAGAAACATTCCTATGATGTCATCATTGAATTGTTTTCGCCTGGGTATTTGACCGGTAGTGACTCGCGGTGCTGGCTGCTGGGAACGCAAGTGTGGGGTGGTCAGAGGTCAACATTACGTTGCAATGGTTGTGTTTGTGTAATTAAATGGACCTCAAACCTGAAGCACAGTGTCATAACACGGCCTAGAAGTTGTTTGGATTTAGGTCTTTTTATGTTTTATGGTTGTGACGCGCTCTTATTGTCAGTTAACTGTAGCTGTTGTAGTTTTGTTGCAGTAGACATAAGCGGTAACTGGTGATATGGCTGTCTGTGTTTTTAATTACGGCCAGTTGCTGATGTACTGATACAGCAAATGTGGGCCGTGATGCAAGTGTTCATTGATTCCGCATTGGTTGCGCTGCGGTGTAATGCATTGTAATGCCAACTTTGATGTCATAGCGTCTGAACGGCTTGCACTAGAACCACCAAACTTGGTGCCTTTTGCTAAAATACTGCTGGCAAGAAATCTTCATCGGTGGAATAAGATAAAAATTTTGTGTTGACATAGGGTTTCTGACAGGCATTAATTTAGTAATTTTCGTTTCAACAATAGAATTTTATGGGTTTTATGTCTATTTACATATGGTTTGTAATGTTAATAGCATCTCATGTAATTTCATGTAAATTTTATCATTGAAATGCATAAATGTATGCTAATTTGCTGATGTCATCGGCTAAAATCCAATGGCGGGCCATACCACTACATTAGGTATATACAGTTTTTTTTCTTTAAAGTTCATCACTACTTTCATTTCTTTTTACACAAAGGGTTCACATAAACGTCTTTAGTCTATTTTCATTGTATTTTAGGCTTTATCTTACAAACAAAAAATATTTCAAAATTCTAGATTGGTGATCCAAGATGGCGAATTACTTAAATATGCATGACGTCATTTCATGACGTCGTCGGTGTTGTTATGAGCACCTACCCCCCATACCCTTCCCCCCGGACCCACGAAGCCAAACCCGGTCCAGATAGGGTTAAAACACTATTTTCTGTGTGATCCACAGGCAAGCTAGCTGTCCAGCTAGCTGTCCGGCTGGATGGCGGCCGCCTGCCCTGGGAAGGACGAGTGGAGTTCCGTCCGGGAGACAAGTCGGAGTGGCGTGCCGTGTGCAACAACGGCTGGGGTGAGACTGAGACAGGGACCGTGTGCAAACAGCTGGGGTATACAGGGGGCGTGAGCTCAGCTCCTACAAGCACCTACTCAAGCCGGACCTGGCTGAAACGCGTCTCCTGCAGTGAAACGAAGACTAACATCGCATCCTGCGCATTAGTCTGGGTCTCGGGCTCCCGCGGCTGCCTAGCACATCAGAAGAATGTACAGGTCGTTTGCATAGGTTGGTACTCACACTAAGTTTTTCATCATTTTCTTCGGAAATAACATAGGGCAAACAATGTAGCGCAGCACTGAATAAATAAGCAGCCTGACCCACTCACTCACTAACTCACTCACTCACTCTCTCACTCTCACTCACCCACCCACCCACTCTCTCACTCACTCTCACTCACACTCACTCATACTCTCACTCACTCATTCACTCACCCACCCACCCACTCTCACTCACTCACTCACACTCACTCACTCTCACACACTCACTCTCAGTCTCTCTCACACACTCACTCACTCACTCTCACACGCACTCCTCACTCACACTCACTCGCACTCACTCACTCACTCTCACTCACCCACTCTCACTCACTCTCACTCTCACACACTCACTCAGTCTCTCACACACACACTCCTCACTCACACACTCACACTCTCACTCCTCACTCACTCACTCACTCACTCACTCACTCACTCACTCACTCACTCACCCACACACTCACTGACTCACTGAAGTCCGCTTGCTCCGAGGAGCGTAGCCCGACCCAACAAACCTTAAACCAAACAAAACCCCAAAAATCGTTTTAAATTTGTTTTCAAGATCTCGTAACCCAGATCCTACATACAAGATGAAATGAAAAGTCAGGTTTTAACAATTTACCCTAATAAAATGTTTAGGTGACGTGTCCATCCGGCTTGCTGGAGGCCAAACTCCACCAGAAGGTCGGGTGGAGGTGCGGGCCGGATATGGAGACTGGGGGACGGTCTGTGATGACGGGTTTGACGACAGGGACGCTCAGGTGGTCTGCAGACAGCTCGGGTTTGTTAACGGAGTCGCAACACAGGGAAAAGATTATCCTGGAGGGACGGGAGAGATCTGGCTGAACCATCTCAACTGCGACGGGAGCGAGTCTTCTCTGGCGGACTGTGGAATCACCAAGTGGGGAGGCCATGACTGTACCCACAAGGAAGACGCAGCAGTCATCTGCGGAGGAGCAGGTACCAGTTCAATATATAGTATTTATCTGCAAATATGCAAGGATTGCTGCGGGAATTAGAACAAGTGTCCATAGGCGACAATTCTCCGTGAAGTTTTATATTTTGCAGATTGAGAACAGTATAGTGTATGTAAACTGTGTGTGATCACTTAACAACCGTGACGTATCGTAAAAATGGCTAAATCCCTGGTCTAATTATCTAGTTATAACCTGACTAAAAATAAATCGCGTTCCTGGTGGCCACTCGCCTTGGGGAAACAGTTACAGACTGTTACTAGTGAAAACACAGGCTACATGAAATCAACAACACCGCAATCTAAATAGATGAACAAAGTCTGATGTTTCATAACAGTATCTTTCTTTTACTACATATTACTCATTTGACAAATTATCGCAGTAGGTGCAAACCACAATCCCAACAGAAACTCGCAACCATTATGCACAACAGCCACCTAATATCTGCTTAGAGAACCTCGGCTACTATCATAAAGCAGGATTGTAAAAGCAGGGGTGTTTCTAAAATATGCATTTATTTCAATATCAAAACTGCTACGGTGAAAATAAAAAGACGTGCATCATTTTTTATTTTTTTATTTATTTATTTATTTACTTATTTATTTACTTATTTATTGATTGATTACATACTGCGCTCACTTGGTGGCTTTATTCGGTGGTTATAGCAACTGACAAGGCTTTATCACACCATATTCACCGAGAAAGGGCGGGCCATTAACGCTATTATCATATACCTTAGACGATAGCCTATCCAAACTGATGCAGTAAGTGACACAATGTACAATTTACCCGTTGCACATGCTGAATAGAACATAGTTCCATCTGGAGTCACCTGAGGTCACTGGGTAGAGTTCACGTTCTATGTCTTCTATCTGGGTCACAGGAGGGAACAGGTGTTCTTATGGGAGTCACCCGAGGTCATTGGAACACTACTGAAGTTATTTTTGGATTTTTTAGAACTAGAGCCGTGTTCTGTTGGGTCACCTGAGGTCATATACGGGTGATAAAAGGGTTGTTTAATGTATGGATTGGGATGAATACATATCCGATTTTGTCTCTATTTGTGACATTACGGCGTCATAAGGAATGTGGAAGGAGCCTTCTGATTGGACAACGTCACCCGGCTATATGATAATACATAATAAATAGTAAAGGAAATAAATAATATATAATAAAGGAAATAAATGTGCAAGGTGCGGATGAAAGCCATAATGGCTTATTTAAATTCCACCCCATCAAGTTTTTACACTAATTTTTCTACAGTTATTCAAATGAAATATAAATAACAATGAAGAAGAATTAAAAAGACAAATAAACAAGTACAATAATAAAAAAATGAAACAACACACATTGTCATTAGATAGTTTTAAACAATGTCTAGAGTTAGATGTTCAAGCGATAGGTGTACCCTTGCATTTTAGAAAACGTGGTACAAAGCAAAGCTGATATGAATTTATGTTTGGTACGATGAAACTGAATTATACGAGGTCTTATAACTACGTGGGTCTCCACTTAGATGAACAGTTCACTTTTATCCCTGGTAACAATATCTTGGCAGGCGCAGCGGGGAGGGCCTTAGGAGGTGTTCTGACCAAAGTTAAAGTCTTAAAGGACTTAGGTCACCAAGTTTACTCTGCACTTTGTGACGGATGTGTCTGTCCTGTATAGAATTAAGCTGTGAGGGTATGTTCTTTTAAAAACTACGACATAGGTTTGATCATACAAAATAGGGCCATCTGCTGTTTTCTCGGGGTTCATCGCTTCGCAACCACTTCTGCTTTAAGCAATAAATGGTGGCATGGGCTGGGTCCCATTATAAATACTTCAAATGGTACCGGTGATAAACTGGTGGATGGCGATTTGCAAATATTGTCAGATCCAGACACTACTCTATTCTGACTTATTAACATTTCGGACATGACATTGTAGATTTAACCTTTTTATTGCGATTTTTACATTGAATCTGTCCCCTGCTACTTACCGTTTCC